GTAGAAAGACTACAGAGTGGATATCAATGAAAGTGAAAACAGCAGCAGAAAAAAATTAACAAAGCCAAAAGTTGGTTCTTTGAAAAGATAAAAAAAAAAAGTTGAATAAATTACATGTAGACTAATGAATAAATTGAAGCAGAATTTAAAAACAGCAGGGATTAGGGTAGGGGTAGGTACCACTATAGTTTACAGGCATTAAAAGGATAAAAAATAAACATTGTAAACAACAACATAACCTAACCTTGCAAAACCTAAAAAAAAAGAACCAAAACTGACACAACATAAAAAATAAAATCTTTTTTATCTTTTATCTGTAAAAGAAATTAAATTTAGTACCAAAGATCTTTCTGCAACTCCAGACTCAGTTTCATTGGTAAATTCTTTCAAACATTAAGAAAGAAAAAATTCCTATCATACACAAACTCAAAAAAGAGATGAAAAAGAAACATTTTATGAGGCTAGCATAACCTTAATATCAAAATATGACAAAGAAGGCTGGCCACGGTGGTGTGCTCCTATAATCCTAGCACTCTTGGAGGCCAAGGCAATACAATGCCTGAGCTTAGGAGTTGGAGACCACCCTGAGCAAGAGCAAGACCCCATCTCTAAAAATAACCAGGCATGGGGGTGGCACCTGTGGCTCAGTGAGTAGGGCACCAACCCCATATACTGAGGGTGGTGGGTTCAAATCTGGCCCCAGTGAAACTGCAACAAAAAAATAGCCGGGCATTGTGGCGAGTGCCTGTAGTCCCAACTATTCGGGAGGCTGAGGCAAGAGAATCACCTAAGCCCAGGAGTTGGAGGTTGCTATGAGCTGTGATGCCATGGCACTTTACCAAGGGTGATAAAGTGAGACTCTGTCTCTAAAAAAATAAATAACCATGCATGGTGGTGTCATAGTTACTCGGGAAACTGAGGCAAGAAAGGCTGCTGTGAGGTATGATGGCACAGCACTCTACCCAGGGCGACAAAATGAGACTCTGTCTCAAAAAAAAAACCTGACAAAGATATTAAAAAACAATGAGAAAAAATAGCCCAATATCATTCAAAAATACAAACACAAAAAAACTTTATAAAATATTAGAAATGAAATTCAGTTATATATAAAAAGGATAACAAAGTGGACCCTTGAATAACATAGGTTTAAACTGTGCAGATTCGTTAATAAGGAGAATTTTTTCAACAAATATATCAGGAAAAATTTTTAGAGATTTGTAACTATTTGAAAAAATTTGCCAATAAACCACACAGCCCAGAAATGTTGCAAAAAATTAAAAGGGTCTATGTCACAAATGCATAAAAGATATGTAGATAGTAGTTCATCCATGTGTTAATGGACTGTTGATGTTATTGGTAAGGCTTCTAGTCAACAATAGGCTATTAGCTACTGTTAAGTTTTGGGAACATCAAAATTATACATGGATTTTTGATGGCCTACCACCCATGTTGTTCGAGAGTGCTGTACTTTATGACCAAGTAGTGTTTATCTCAACCATTTAAGGTTGATTTAATATTCAAAATTTAACAGAATAAAGAAGAATATATTCATTTCAAGAAAAGCAGAAAAAACATTTGACAAAATTAAATACCAATTCTCAGCAAACTAGGAATAGAGGGGAATATGTCCTCAATCTGATACAGGAAATTCATGAAAAATCTAAAAGGAGTATCAGAGCTAATGGTAAAATATGGAATACTTTGCTCTAAGATTAGTAAAAATACAAGAAGGTCCAGTGTCAACACTTCTATCAAACAGTATAATTAAGGAATAAAGAGCAAAAAGGAGTAACAAAAACTTGTCTTTTTATTTTAAGACAGACTTGGTAAAGTGAAGTGGCATCATAGCTCACAGTAACCTCAAACTCTTGGACTCAAACAATCCTCTTGCCTCAGCCTCCCAAGCAGCTGGGACTATAGCCACCCACCAAGATGCCCAGCTATTTTTAGAGATGGGGTCTTGCACTAGTTCAGGCTGGTCTCGAATGCCTGACAATCTGCCTTGGCCTCCCAGAGCACTAGAATTACAGGCATGAGCTACACCTGTCCTAAAAACTTGTCTTTATTTGCAAGTGACACAATTGGATACGTAGAGAATTCTAAAGAATCTACAAAAAAAAAACCTTAGAATAAAATCAAGTCATCATTCATAGAATATAAAGTTAATAAAATTCAAAGATATACTTACATATTAGCAGCATATATTGGAAAACAAAATTGAAAGAATTCCATCTATAATAGCATCAAAATATGAACTACTTCAAAATAAATTTTGAAATGTGTACAACTTTTCCAATGACAACCATAAAACACTAATAAAAAGCTATAAAAATCTAAATGGAGAGATATACTATATGCCTGGATGGAAAAGTTAGGTGGTGTTAAGATGTCAATTCTCCCTATTCAACACAATGCCAATCCAAAATCCATCTGGCTTTTGTAAAAATAGAATTTGAGAAGCTGATTGTATAATTTATGTGGAAAGGAACTAGAATAATCAAAACAATACTGAGAATAACCAAGTTGGAAGACTTAACACTACTTGACATCAAGACTAACTACACACAATAATGAAGACATTGTGATATGGGCCTAAGGACTGACAAAAGATTAGTAGAACAGAAAGTTCAGAAAAGAACTTACTAATCTCTAATTTTCAACAAACGTGCTAAAACAATCTAACAAGGAAAATCAACTCTCTTCAAGAAATGGTGCTAAAACAATTAGATATTCTTATGGGAACAGAACAAAACAAAATAATCCTTATCTTACAATATACACAAAAATTTGAGGTTTACAGCCTTAGTTATGAAAGCTTGTGGAAGAAAACATAAAAGAATATGTTTAAAATTTGGGGGTAAGCACAATTTTCATAGAGAGAACACAGAAAAACAAAATCATTAAAAACTGATAATAAACTTCATCAAAATTTAAAAATGTATGCTAATTCAAAGACAGCATGATGAAAATAAGTAGGCAAACACATCTGATAATAAATTGACATTCACAATGTAAAAAGATTCCCTGCAAATTGATAATAAAAAGACAAAGAACTCAGTTTGAATGGGGAAATGACTTGAACAGACACTTCACCAGAAGAAGATACACACATGACCAAAGAGAAAATGTTCAACATCATTTGTCATCAGAGGAATGCAAATTGAAACCACAATAAGACACCATTACATACCCATTAGAATGGGTAATTTTTTTAAACTGACAACACCAAATCTTGGAGAAGATGTGAAGCAACTGGAACTCTCATTTATGTTAGGTAGGAGTATAAAATAGTATAACACTTTGGGAAAACATCTGGCAGCTCCTCATAAAGCTAAAAACATACACAATTATGGCCTAGCAATTCCTTAGCAAGTACTTAAGGTAAATGAAGACATATGTCCACATAAATATATGTAAGAGACTGTTCACAGTAGCTTAATTCATAATAGCCAAAGTATAAAAAGCCCAGGTATCCATTCACAGGAACATTTGCAAGATAATCATGCACAAGGAAAATGCATGGCATTCAAAGAGTGGACTATTCCTCATAAATATAAAAGAATTAATTATAATAGATGCAGCAACATGGATGCATCTCTAAGCAGGCTGAGTCAAAGAAGCTCTACACAGAAAAGGACATATTGCATGATTACATTTACATGATGTCATAAAACAGGCAAAATTAATCTGTAGGGAAAAAACAGTAGTTGTTGTGTCTAGTGTAAGGTGACCAGACGTCCCACTTTTGGCAGGACAGTCCCAATTTTTAACAATTTGTCCTGTGTCCCACAGCATTTTTAAAAAGTCCCAATTTTTGGAAAGAATGCACGACAAGCTAGGGAAGGGCGCAAGAATGAGAAGGGAATATACAGTTTTGGGCTGCTGTCCACAATTTACTGTGAAGTATACAAAAAATTAAGAGGAAATGATGAATGAATAAATGAAGAGATATTTGATAAAACAAATATAGAAAAATGTTAGTGACAGAATCTAGATGGTAGGTATACAGATTTTTCTATAAACCTTTTAAAATGTATTTGAATGACTGGAAAATATCTTAAAACATTGGAGAAAAAAGTTGAGAATGGGAAAATAGATGAGATTGGAAAGCCTAGACACTAGCAACCAAGAAGCAAAAATTTTTATCACTGTACGATACTGCCCAGGGACCATGGAACCCTGCTGGCCAGTATGTCTGTCAGTATGGAAGGGTATAATCTTATAATGGAAATGGATGATGAATTCAGTTATCCCAGCTTAACATTAGTCAATAGTATCAAATCCCCCTTGTTCTGGCACTCACGCTCAATAAGCAGCCTTCTAGAGACTGTAGTCTAGTTTTCCACAGGAGATTTTTATAGGAAGAGAAAATATACTAGCCAATCAACAGCTACTTGGCAATTAAATTTTTTACTAATAATTAATGGGAGCAATATGTTTGCTACAATAGACTTACAAGTTTGGTTAGACTGACTTATGTATTCATTAAACCTGATCAAATCTAAGTTTAACCCCCAAAATTAACTTCTGAACTTGAAAAATTGATTATAAAAGCAAGCAGTGATTCACCTTCAATACAAATTTTTAATACCTTAAAATCAGAAAGGCTCCTGAGATTGTGATGTTATCTGTTATTTTTTCATTATTCATTGCTGAGACACTACATTAATGCCTTTCATGATTCCTTCAAACAGAATTATCCCCAAATAAGCATTTTATCAGGCAGAAAAGATAGAAAACTTACACAGTTTTCTGGAATAAATCCTCATTATAGTCCCAGCAAAGACAAAAACAGTAGAACCTCTGTAAGTTGACCACCCAAGGGACAGTAACAAACTCATCAACATAAGGAACTAGGCCTACTGTGCTGATACTTACATGTGGTACATGTTGGATCTCTGAAAATTAGGTCAACTTAAGGAGGTGGTCAATGTAAAGAGGTGGTCAACTATGGAGATTCTACTGTAGTTCATATTCATAAGAAATTGACATTTAATTACCTGTGTGCCCTGATCTGGGAAAGAAGTCTGAGATGCTATTTCATGGTTTTGTATGGTTGGTTTATTAAGAAGTTGGTTAATTTCTTTGGACTTTTGCTGGAGTTGATCTAAGGAAAAGAAAACAAATAAATGTGATATCTGCTTAAAGTCTGAAACTTGGTGACTTATTATCTCCTAAGGATACACCATGTGCTGTAGCAGCCCATACAGCTTATGGCTAGGAGGAGTGAGAGTTATTAGAAACACCTGTAGCACAATAACGGAGCACCTTGGTGAAAAGGGCATTGGGAGGGATTTATCTCTCCTAACAAGCATGAGAGAGCTCGCAAGATGAGTGTTAGTGAATTGGCAGTCTCTACACCTGTGGTATTAAGAGCCACAGATTGCATCTTTAAGAGGCTGGATAAGAAGGCAGTCAGGAGCTTGCACATTCTATCTCTGACTGCTTACTCTTACTCTGTTGCTTCTCCCGTCACTGCAGAATGACAGCACAGCGTCTCTTTGCTGAAGCTTACTAAGCTCTATGAAAGCCTTCTATTGCTAAGATCTATCCTTCTAAGACTGCTTTACTCCCTCAAAGACTCTTTCTCTCTCTCCCTTCTGCTAAAGTAAATAGCCCTCAGGCACCTAAGAGCAATTGTTCCCGACCAAAGTCCATGTCAGAACACAGATAGGCAGGGGGCCGGAAACCTGGCCAGTCCCGGGCCCTGACAAGTGGCCACCACAAATGGACACTGACAATATGCGGTGTACGAGTTAGTTATCTTGCACCTGTGGCTCAGTGAGTAGGGCGCCAGCCCCATATACTGAGGGTGGAAAGTTCGAACCCAGCCCCAGCCAAACTGCAACAAAAAATAGCCGGGCATTGTGGCGGGCACTTGTAAGTCCCAGCTACTTGGAAGGCTGAGGCAAAAGAATCGCCTAAGCCCAAAAGCTGGAGGTTGCTGTGAGCTGTGATGCCATAGCACTCTACCGAGGGTGACAGAGTGAGACTCTGTCTCTAAAAAAAAATAAAAAATGATGCCAATGACAAAACTAAAACTATTTAAAACATCTCAAAGGTCAAAGCACACCTTGCAAGGTAAGCTACTTCCTTCAAAAGTAAAATGAAACATGCTTAGCCATTTTGTTGTTGTTGTTGTTTCTTTTTCATTGTTGTGTCTGTTTTATTGGAAGAAAGATTCCCGCTGTGGGCTCAGGAGAGGAGGCATGGAGAGTTTCTTCGTTCTGTCCTGAGTTTCTCCCTCTCAGTCAGCATAGGGAAGGATGTCAAAAGTGCTAGAGCCCCCAGAGATGCCTCCGCCATGGAAATCTCAGGATGCTCCTCAAAGGCAGGGTCAGAGGCAGAATAGGACCCTCACATCTCAGACTCCCCCATCCTCATTCAGTTCTTATCCCCTGCCCTGCTCTCTGTGATGGGACTTATTCCAAGAGCTCTCCCTGATTTCCAGGATCCAGGTTCCCTTCACAATCCAGGCCAAATTGGGGGAGAGAGTGCCTTTAATCCTTCAGGGTTCCAAATAAGATTCAGAGTCCAGCTGTACACCCTCCCCTTCCTGAAGAAGGTCCCAGTATAGCCCAGAACAGATGAAGGTGGAGTTCCACATCTTCAGGCAACACAGCCATAGGGACCACCATCTCACTAAGCTTCCTCACGCCATAGGAAATCCTCTACTGCCACTCCTAATCCTCACTGACACTCCTGGGGCCCTTCTCTTGTCACCTAGGGGTTCGTGCTACCTGTCTGGGAGCTGTGTTCAGGGTGTGGGCTCCCAGGACCGACTCATGAAAGGTTGGAGGTGCATCTGAAGGTGCAGGTGCCGGGAATAAGATCCTGTCAGTCTAGGGGACCCCACCCCCGGGTCAGGGGTTCTCAGGCCTTCTGCTCGTCCTCCACAGCTCTTGGCTCAGGCTGCAACCTCTTCGCAGAGCCTTCTTCATCTCTGGGTTCCCTGAGCCTTCTGTTGGTTGACGGGGAAGAGGCAACGGGATGGGGATTTGAGGCTGGATCCAGTGCGTCCTTGGAAAGTAGGATGGCAAGCCCGGGAACTTTCTTAAGTACACTGAGACTGCCGGCCAGCTGGCCAGGAGTCTGACCCACGTGGACCCAGGTGGGAGGCTCCACAGCGCCTTGCACATGCTCCAGAACACAGCCAAGGGACCTGGTGCTGGCCGCTGGGCTAGGCGTCAGGATCTCCGCCCACAGGACGATTTGTGGTAGTCTGGCCACAGCCCCTTTAGACGATGGCATACCATGCTGCCTGTGGGGAAGGCCATGCAGTTCCAGATCTTGCTGTCCTCATTGGCCTATACGGTGCACGGCGCCCAGTGTCAGGTCTGCAAAGGAGCCGGAGCCCCGCCGCCCACTCGGCCCCACCTCCCCCCAGCGCCTACCCGGAGAACACTTTAGGGAAGTTCTCCAGGCGCTGCAGTCGCTGCCAGGACTACCTGCTTTGCCACTGGGCCCCCTCAACCTAGAGTGTAGTGAATTGGCTCCCAGTCGTGCCCTGTAAGGACCAACCGGGGTGAGGGTGTGGGCGTGGCGTGGACGCAGGTGAGCGGGCTGGGACTGTGTGATCTCAACTCTTATTTTCTTCCAGTGGGTGCTGTTCTAGCCTGCTCATGCTTAGCCATTTTTAAAAACAAAATCATCTGTTTTTCTTTTCCCCTTGAAAGTGGCTTTAGTGGTTTTTATTGTATTTTCTTCTATCTCTACTTAGGCATTACGGGGCCCACCAAGGCTCCACCATATAGATTTAAACATGGCTATAGTTCAGCTAAGAGGACAGTATACTCATGTAACACCCTGATCCTGAGTAATTCCCTTCAAGGTTGTCTGGCTAATATTCAATTCTTTGATAAAATTTTCTACTTAATTATTTCTAAAATATTTCCTTTAAGTATATGCCAATCTATTATAAGAGGGTATAATCTGGGGAAGAGGACTGGTGAAATGGATTAATGTTGAGCAAGTTTCACTTTTTAATTTATAAACTTCTAAAATGTTCACTTTTTAAAGACACATATTTTTATAATAACATTTCAAAAAATAAATTTTGCTTATGGCTTTTTAAAGGATGTTTTCTGGCTCGGCACCTGTGGCTCAAGTGCCTAAGGCGCCAGCCACATACACCTAAGGTGCCAGCCACATACACCTAAGGTGGCGGGTTCAAATCCAGCCTGGGCCTGCCAAACAACAATGATGGCTGCAACCAAAAAATAGCCAGGCATTGTAGCGGGTGCCTGTGGTCCCAGCTACTTGGGAGGCAGAAGCAGGAGACTCGCTTGAGCCCAGGAGTTGGAAGTTGCTGTGAGCTGTGATGCCACAGCACTCTACCTAGGGGGACAGCTTGAGGCTCTGTCTCAAAAAAAAAAAAAAGGATGTTTTCTTTAAAAAGAAATTTTCACCTATAACAAAGGCATTCAGAGTCATCTTTAGATTAAGGATAATTCTATCCAATATAGTCTCCCTTCCTGAGTTTTTCCACAAACTAATTCAAATCCTACTCAATTCACTTATTGAACCCTTCAAATCAGAGTCATGTTTCACATAGCATTCTATTTAATATTTGAACCATCCCTAACATGTTTTCAGTACTGTACTGGTAATTATATATAACATTAAGACAGATTATAACTTTAGTCAGCGGCAGAAAAAATGCAACAAATTAAAAGAGATCTCTTTCTTCGTCCTTCTGTTAACTGGTTTGAATAAAGGATTTCATTAACAGATCCCTGAAAATATGAAATACTGAGGTGTGGATTTCAAAAGCAATCAAACACTGACCTTCCAACTGTTGAATGGCTTGGGCTGACTGAGCTGCTTGTTCATTCTTATCTTTGAGAAGCTCTGAATTTTGATCCTTCAGAGCATCATAGGCAGATTGCAGCTCTTGTTCAGTCTTTTGAAGACTCAAAATGTGAGATGTCTTTGCTTCCATTTCTGCTTTGTGCTTTTGCTCCAAAGTACTGTACTGAGACTCCAGTTCAGCCTGGGCTTGGCCTGCTTGCTCAAACTTTTTCAAAAGATGATGCATTTCTTCTTGGAGGTTATGGAAGGACAATTTTTTCTCTGCCATTTCAAGTTCCATCTTTTCTATCTGAATCTTGAACTCTTGTCTTTCTGTTGTCATAGTATTCCTTAAAGTGTTATGCTCAGCTTCCACTTGCTGTAACTGCTGAGAGAGAATCTAAGAAAAAACACAGAGCCTCATGAGTAGAAGTACATTATTTCACTTGAGTAAGCATAGTGAAGTGTTTCTTCTGGGTAAAGGACAGAAACAGGCACTTGGGATGAAAACTACAATTACATAAGATTCTGTATTTTTGGCTCTTGATACTTTTGATAGTTTGTGCTCATTATCTATTTATTTCTGCACTAGAAAATAAGTTCCCTAAGGGAAGGGATGATGTCTGTTTTACACTTTTTCTTGTCTAGCACCTAGTACAGTATATGGCATAGAGTGGTACTCAAAAAGTACTGAGTGAGGGCAGCCCCATATACCAAGGGTGGCAGGTTCAAACCTGGCCCTGGCCAAACTACAACAAAAAAATAGCCAGGCTTTGTGGTGGGTGCCAGTAGTCTCAGCTACTCAGGAGGCTGAGGCAAGAGAATCACCTCAGCCCAGGGGTTGGAGGTTGCTGTGAGCTGTGATGTCACAGCACTCTACTGAGGGCTATAAGTGAAACTCTGTCTCTACCAAAAAAAAAAAAAAGTACTGAGTGAATGAATGAATACAGCCTTAAGGAACTGAGTTCAGGCACACTGAAACATGTAAGAATAATACAAAATTACTGAGGCCATAAGACAGATATAAGGTATTAATAGGAGCAGAAAAGAAAGATGGGTTAGGGTAGCCTTCCTAAAACAAGAGCCACCTCATCTGAGATTTAAATAATGAGGAATCAATCAGATAAGCATTAAAAAGAATACTTTAAGCAGATAAAAAGGCCAAGAAAAATATACGAGTTAGAAAAAATATGGTTATCTATGTAGTTTGGAGTTGTTAGTGGGGTAAAGCTTTAGCAAGAAAAGGCAGGAGATAAAGTAGAAAACTAATCATATGACAAATAAATCATAAGAAGATTTATATACTTCAAATTTCCTTTTTTAACTAGGAAATAGTTAAATCTGTTTAACTATTAATCTGAAATCTGTTTTGGACAGATCCTCTTTTTGAATATATCCTTCTAGTTGCCACACAGAAGATATATATGAGAGTGGGAGGGAAAATAGAGGTGGAGAAAAACCTGTCAGGAAGCACTTTCTATGCAAAGATGTTCCTAACCAGAATTAGGGTACTGACAGTACCAATGAAGAAGACAGATTCAAAAATTATTTAAGAGGTAAAATCAGTAGAACTTGATAATTAATTGTAGGGGGTTAAAGAACATGGAGGAAACAAGATAGCCCTACCAAGTTTTATTCTTTAGAGTGAATAGCCCGATAACCCTAATAAAATAACAGTATGACACTCTAAAGAAACTAGGGCCCTAGACCTAAAATAACAAAAAAAGCAACAATAAAGATGTAAAAGGTAAGCTCCACAAAGGAAGGAAATGTATTTACTTTGCTCATCATTGTACTGTATCATTACCATTTAAGCATAGGGTATTTGCTAAAAGAATGAATAAATGGCATCAATTCTCTAAAGGCTTAAAATAGGCTTTTATACTCACTGCCTGGCAAATTAAAGTGAAAATGGATACTCTCAAAGCAGGCAATACCTGGTTTCTCTGTTCAGCAGCAGTCAGCTCCTGTTGTAGCAAGTCAATAACCTGAGAACGGCCCACCAAGGCTTCTTCATGTTCTTCAAGCTTTCTTTGCATCACTCTTAATTTCTGAGAAGCAAACGTTTTAGACATAGCAAGTTAACAAATGAGCACCATTCACTGCTTACTTTTTAAAATGTCATGTAGAAATATAGACATAAACTTCTGGATGTTGAAGATGACAGATTAAAGAGTGGGACCCCAACATGCCATGCTCCCCATCCAGCAACAACAAAGAATTTCCAAATGTCTTCTCCAGAGCACTGACAACAACCAAATTCAGACATAAGCAATTCTCTGAATTAGAAAGCCTTTTAAAAAACTAGAACAAAATGACACATATTCACTTTCAAAATTATATAGTTAACATCCTATACCTAAGTAACATAGATTCATATATATCTCACCGACCAAAGAGAACATTCTCTGCAGGCAAGAACCATTTCTTTTCTCCTAGTCTCATGCACAGGGCAGGCACTTGAAAAACACTTGTTAAATAAATTATCAATGATACACGCATACAATTAATATTCTACTAAATAAAGTGTTGCATTATGAAACTTAGCATTCTGAAAGACTGCTTAGAAGTTTTCACTCAAAAATAAACAGATCAAACATAAAGTACCACAGAAGTGCCTCTCAGTACCACATTGTACTACATGCTAAATGAAAACATATAAAGTTAGTAGATGATGAACTCAAATACAATGAAGCCATTTTTAAACTTTACTCAAAGTTTTTTAAAAAGGAATTACTCACTTAATAAAAGATTTCATAGCTTCAAAATCACTCATTTTCATCTCTAATTTTTTGAAAATTTAAAACTGACTCCATTGATTTGAAGTTTTAGATTAGGTTTTTAATGCACAAAGGTAGCTACAATCAGCAAACTGAAGAGAATCCAATTTCTGACTACCATATACATTCACCAACTAAACTCAGCTTTTGAGTACCAACCACCTGATTAGAGGAGCACAGGGCAAAGTGAGGATAAGAAAAAATAAATAATTAATATGCAACAGAAGACGAGGACACCCAAAAGAAGCCAATAAGGAGCACTCAAAGACCAAGTGAAGAGTGGTGCGTAAGGGCAGACTAGTGGCTGTGATGAATTAATTAAATTAACCAAAATGGTGGTCATTCTACTAAGTTTTAGCAACACACCTGTTGCATCTCTGTTTCCACATCTGCCTGGGTTACTAACTGAAGCAACTCATCTTCATGAAGACGAACTTGTGTTTCAAAGCGGGCATCTTTCTCTCGGACCACCTGCTGCATGGAACTCAACTGAAGACACATACCAGAGAAACTATACAAGTTACACTCCCCAAATATTGTACAAATGAAACTCACAGACTAATCTCCAGAGATAGACACTGAGAACTGATAAGATAGTAGCTCTTTTAAAATGACATTATGAGGGTGGTGCCTGTGGCCCAGTGAGTAGGGCACCGGTCCCATATACCAAGGGTGGCAGGTTCAAACCCGGCCCTGGCCAAACTGCAACCAAAAAATAGCCAGCATTGTGGCAGGCGGGCGCCTGTAGTCCCAGCTACTTGGGAGGTTGAGGCAAGAGAAATGCCTAAGCCCAGGAGTTGGAGGTTGCTGCGCGCTGTGATGCCACAGCACTCTACCCAAGGTGATAAAGGGAGACTCTGTCTCTAAAAAAAAAAAAAAATGACATTTTGAACATCAAGGATAATGCCAAAAGAGAGATAGGCCTGACAATAACTTCCAAATCTAAGAGAAAGCCTATTTTCAAATTCAGAAGTCACCCTAAATATAAATTTTGATTAAAAATTGTATTTTCTGGCAATGCATCATAGATTATGCCTATAAATCTAGCATTTGGGGAGGCCAAGGTATTGAGGACGAGAGTTCAAGACCAACCTGAGCAACACAGCAAGAACCTGTCTCTATAAAAAGTAGAAAAATTAGCAGGACATAGTAACATGTGCCTGTAGTTTCAGCTACTTGGGAGGTTGAGGCAAGAGCATTGCTTGAGCCTACAAGTTTGAGGTTGCAGTGAGCTATGATGATGCCACTATGCTCTAGCCCAGGAAATAGAGCACAACCCTGTCTCCAAAAAAAAAAGTTATATTTTCATAATTACTAGAAAAAGTATATATTTTAAAATCTATAAAAATATTAGCATATTAAACATACAAAGTAAAGTAAGATTTCTGTTAAACTAAGACACATTTTTCAGTATGCTCATGCTCAAAATCTTTCAATGAGGGGGCGGTGCCTATGGCTCAAAGGAGTAGGGCGCCGGCCCCATATGCCAGAGGTGGCAGGTACAAACCCAGCTCCAGCCAAAAACTTAAATTAAAAAAAAAAAAAAAAATCTTTCAATGAACTTTTCATGTCCTATAAGTGAAAATTAACAGTTCTCTAAAACTGGAAATACAAATCCATCTTCCTGCCTTACTTTCAAAAAATTGATTTTACCACAGAACTTGCTGTGCTTCTAAACCCACACCACCTCCCCAACTGATATTTTCAGCTGTCATTACTTGCATGCTTTTAGATCACGCTCATTTGTAACTGGCTCATAACAGAATGGAATGGAAACAAATGGACTTCTTAATATCAATGTTTCTGCTTGTTAAGGTATGCATGCCTATGTGTGTGTGAACGCCTGTTTATTTCCTTAAGATATATGGTTGAGCATGCTGCTCAGCTCTTTGCTTGCCTATTCTGCATTGGTCCTTCAACTATTGCTGATTTCTCAGTTTGTGACACCTGGAATTGACCTTGATTCTCCTTTTTGATAAGAGGAAAAGAACCTCAAATTTTTGATTAGTTGAATTCGGCCCTCATTATGAATTTGGAATCTTGTGCTTCAAGTGTGTAAGCGCTGGAGTCTTTCATTAGCCAACTACATCTAGCATTCTTTCCTGTAAATGTCCCATATTCTTTTTTTCTCTGAGACTCTGCACATGTGGCATGACTGAAATACCTTTCCCTAGCTTGTCTAGAATATTATCTATTCATTGTAGTTTTGCCTAAATCCCAATTTTCCATGTAACCTTTCTTGACTGCCACACTCACAGTAACCTCTTTCATCTCCTAATAACTTTGCATTGCTGTTTGCTTTGGCACTTATTCAGGACAGCCTGCACTATGATGGATCTATTAACATATTTATATATCCTGGCTTTTCATATTTTAAGCAACTCATTGGTAAATCATGTTTTCTATTTCTCTACCCCATATTGTACATAGTACTTACATAAATAAAGGACATACTAAAAGCTAATAGGTAACATTAAGGACTTCAGGATAGAATTTAACTACATACACAGGAGTAGGCTATCCACAGACAGAGGGAACCACTGATATTACAAGTTACCAATAAAGTAAACACCTGGTGGATAAGATTAGCTATGTGCAAAGGTACTTAAGGAAAAAAAATCTTTCACGATTCAAAAGCATTTATAAAACAAAAATACATGGCGGGTGGTCAATGTTTTCTAGATGTGGAGAACAAAGAAACAGCCATTGATTTGGCTACTCTAAATTCATCAAAATAAACACCACTTTTTGAGGTTTTCTGGTGTTCCCTAGTAACACATTTACCTATCACATATTTTCTAATTTCTTCTACTACACATCCTTCTAATTTTTACTATAACACTTGAGCTATTTTTTTCTACTGAAATTTTAAATAGTGACTTACTGAATTAACAAGCATGTAATAACCCATTGGACTTGGTGGTTCTTTATCCCAATTTTATGAGATATTCTCTACATACCTGTGCAGCTTGTTCTGCCTGTGTCTGGCTGAGCTGGGCTTGCAAAGTGCTGATAAGTTTCTCCTGCTCCTGGAGCTGTTGCTTCATAATTATAAATTCTTCCATTTCTATATTACTCTTATTAAACTGAAGACATAGAAGGAAAAACAATTTTATTTAAGCAAAAGAATTAGCATTTTTTGCTATCAAAGCATTTTATGATAGACATACTCTTATTTGACAATATGAATGTTACTTTTTTGCACTATTATTATTGCTCAATATTTTGTTGCAGCAATCGTCTGATTTCTTTTCTGAATATATTTACCTTTGTTCTTTACAAAGTTTTTGTTTCTAGTCCTTATCTTAAATTAAATTTCAAGCCTTTTCAATTTTGTGAAGGCAAAAAGTGGAAACCAAATAAACATATATATATGTATAGAGAAAATTTTTTAAAAATTAAAAAAAATTTAAAATAAATAAAAGAATTAGCATTTTTAATTGTTTGACCTCCCTTTCTTATTTCCCCTAAATACTTATCTTATTTCCTTCTAATTTCTACTTAATATAAAAGTGAATTGCATGCACTGTGGCTTTCAAAAAGTAGTCATCAAAATTAATTGGTCAAAGGAAGACAACGCAATAGCAGCAATTTTTCAATTTCTCTGACTCCTCACATACAGACAGCACAACCAGATAATAAAACCAAAAATACATGGACAACATTTACAATAAAATTAGAAACATAGTCAGTCTTATAAACCCTAAAATACAAGCAAGCAAGTAGGGATAAACCACCAAAAGTTGTAACACCTACATGGTATTACAGCCCGTCTAAGAAAAAGAAGGCAACAAGAGTGACATCTTAGGCCAGGTGTGGTGGCCCATGCCTGTAATTCCAGTACTCTGGGAGGCCGAGGCAGGTGGATTGCTTGAGCTCACAAGTTCAAGACCCAGCCTGAGGTAGAGCAAGACCCTATCTCTAAAAATAGCTGAGCGTTGTGGTAAGTGCCTGTAGTCCCAGCTACTCAGGAGGCTGAGGCAAGAGAATCACTTGAGCCTGAGTCTGAAGTTGCTGTGAGCTATGATGTCACAACATACTACTAAGGGCGACAAAGTGAGACTTTGTCTCAAAAAAAAAAAAAAAAAAAAAAGTGGTATCTGAAGCCCCGAGAACAGGAAAATCCCCAAATAGCCAATGTAATGGTTAGAATGCACAGTTGGCCAATTTTAGAATAGCAGCAGAGCTGTCCCATTCCCTAATGCTAGGTAAATGCAATGGGTCTACATTAAGAAGGACTAAAAGAGCTAGAGCAATCTAGCCCCTGTCCAGTATCCTATGCACACACTGGTGTGAGGGTTGGGTCACCAAGGCACAGTCCTTGGGCAGTCCTATTCCTATGGCTTTGCTGGGCCCAATCCACCCAACTGTCCCAGGCTGGCCTTGCACACTGATAGGTTTGTTGTTCTGTGGTCTTGGTAGCAATCTTCATGGGGTATCTACAAATATCAACCAAAAATTACAAACTCCAATGCATATGCTAATAAAATTACTAGGGAGAAGCAATGCCTATAGTTCAGTGGGTAGGGCACCGGCCCCATATACTGAGGTGGCAGGTTCAAATCCCAGCCCCAGCCAAACTGCAACAAAAAAATAGTTGGGCTTTGTGGTGGGCACCTATGGTCCTAGCTACTCAGGAGGCTGAGGCAAGAGAATCGCCTAAGCCCAAGAGCTGGAGGTTGCTGTGAGCTGTGACACCAGAGCACTCTACAGAGGGCGATAAGGTGAGACTCTGTCTCTACAAAAAATAAAAAATTACTAGGGAAGGAAGGAAGGAAGGCTGATACATAGATAAATATCCACTGGGCATCCAGAAAAATATATTTGTCATATAATAATGCATTGGGCTTTAGTGATTCATTAACCTAATGATTACGAAGCAACTTAAACCCCTACCTGTGCAGCTGGCTCTGCCTGTGCCTGGGTAAGCTGGGCTTGCAAAGTGTTAATTAGTTCCTCCTTCTCCTGGAGTTTATGTTTCATCATTTCCATTTCCATATTTTCCTCTACAGAACTCTTGTCATGCTGAAAATGCAGGAGATGAAGTCATTTCTTTAGAACAATTACAATTACAATATTTTATTAAAAAATTACAAAACCTGATCTTTTGCTGTAATTTCCCCTTTACAACCATTTAATTATAGTTTTATTAAACTGATAGAAGCAAGAAAAACCAGCTAACCTGGCTGGGTGCCTGTGGCTCAAGTGGCTAAGGTGCCAGCCACATACACCTAAGGTGGCGGGTTCGAATCCAGCCCGGGCCGCCAAAACAACAATGACAACTGCAACCAAAAAATAGCCAGGCATTGTGGTGCAAGCCTGTGGTCCCAGCTACTTGGGAGGCTGAGGCAGGAGACTCGCTTGAGCCCAGGAGTTGGAGGTTGCTGTGAGCTGTGATGCCACAGCACTCTACCCTGGGTGTTACTTTTAGGGCTCTGTCTCAAAAAAAAAAAGAAAAAAGAAAAAACCACCTAACCTAAGAAAAAGTAAGGAATCTTAAGGGTTTTCCAGTTTTAGTATGGCCAAATAGCACCCATTAGAACCATCCTCCCACAGATGAACAGCTATTAAGTTGTGGATAATGCAGAAAAAAGCCATTTGAAAATACTGGAGAGCAACCAAAAGCAGAAAAATGCTGGGAATTGATACTTGGTAAAAATGGCACTGAGTTCTCCACTCTTTTTTTTCACAGGGGGTAGGTTTGAACCTGCCACCTCCAGCATATGGGGCCAGCGCCCTACTCCTTTGAGCCACAGGCACTGCCCTGAGTTCCCCATTTTGACAGCTTTTAGTCTGAGGGTAAAACTAATCAGTGCCATGCAGTACTAAACCTTTACTGAAAAACCATAGTCTTGTTGCCTTGAAGAATCAAGGATAGAGTTCAGGAAACTATAGCTGCTAAGTAAAGAGAAAAACATCAGAAAAGAGCCAATGAGGGAAAAAAACAAATGTTTCAATAATCTTTTTTTTCTAAAAGCTCTTTGGCCGAGAGCTTCTCAGCTGAGATTCTGCCTCTTTATTGAGTGCATCTCCCAAAACAAACCTAGTCCTATTTACTAGAACTACAAAGAATAATTTTGCCCTTTCCTTCACATAATAGTTGGTAAAGCATGTTGCTACCATTTCTTCAGCTATATCATAGTTATATCATAGTTAAAGTGTTACTATAACTAATTGCTGGAATTTAGAAATCCTTTATTTAACAGATGAAGGAGATGAACTATGACATGTTGATTTAAGGTCTCAGCACTAAAAATTAAATTTAAAATCAGAGTATAAACTAAATAATTAAAAAATCTAACAACATAGCTATGGGGACAGTAGAAAGAACAAAGTAACGTGGGGAGAGAGGTTGATGCAACGCCAGAGCCTAGGGAAGAGAATTGTCGGACCAAGAACCAAAAGCAAGGAAAAAAGAATTAAGATGAAGAAATTATTTGAGAAAAGCTTTTAAAATATGTTTTGCGATGTTAAATAAGTTTATTCATAATAAAGTAAGGTTTATGAATATTAGCCGTCAAAAACAAACAAAAAAAAATAACTAACCAGGGTATTGGAAAGCTAACTAGTGACCCTAAGGGTTGTGCCTAGAGAAATTACTAAAAACTACTTCCCAAGAAGAAAATTGAGACTAAGAATATTAGCAGGTCAAAGGATAATGCAAAGTAAAATCAAGAAAATAAAAAGATCTCTTATGTACAGTGAAGTCTAGGTTTACTCTACAACTATATGCACATATGACATGCCCACTTCCATATACCAAACTCTCCACAAAACTGAAGTTTCTGGTTCTCTAAATAGTTGGCTAAATATGTACACTTGGAGTGTAACCATAAAGGGAAGATAATAAAAATGAGTATTGAGACAATGCTCCAATAAGGATAAGGCAATACTTATCCTTATTCCTCTTTGTGTCCCCAACCTTAAACTGTTTTGTTGGTAGCAGTCATAAACTGAGAGAACCTCTCCTGTTGGGAGCCCAAAGTAATCTACCTGATTCAGCCAAGAACACATGAAACTTGAATCTGCCACTATGTGGCCACGAGAGGACAGAATATTCTGTATAAAGTAATTGAATTGAAAGATTTCAGAGCTGGAAGAAACCTTAGAGATCACCTAATCTAACCAATGATGAAATTCCTTCAAAAGATACATCTCTCTCCTCTCTAAGTGCCTCACATCAGTACTTATTTCCTCTTACTGATTTTTTTTAATTCTCTGAAAGTCTGGGTCACGACCAGACATTTCATGTCCATGTTTTTCTGTAGCATTTTTACTCCCCAGTGCAATCTATAATCCAGCTGGACCACAAGCTCATTAAAAAAGGACAGTAATTAGTGCTATATTATTTTACTATCTTAAACATTTGTGATTAATGAAGATCTACTTTACTATTCTGTTACATTGGGAGGCATTTCTGACTTAGAAAATATATGTATTACACCCAGTCACCATACCTTGGAAAGTTGCTCCTCTGACTTAGATTCTGTAGGCAGAACAGTCCCTCCTTGAGCCTTCATTTCTTCTATGTGTTTATTCAAAGATGTTAATTTGGCCTTAGCATGAAGTTTCAGTTTTTTTATTTTGTTATCAGCAGCTTTTCTTTCTTCCTGCCAGAGAACAACAATGGTCAATATATAAATGTTTATTCAATACTTACCTAGCACATAACAAAAGTTATGTTCAGTACACATCATGCTGTAGTATTAGGGAAATACGAATAAGATTCTCTAATAATATAGGTGAAGAGAAAAATCTAAGTGAATGGTGTATCTGTCAAATGCTCTGTAAGGAAGGACAATAACAATAGTACCTGTAGAACTTCTTCCTTCTGCTGCAGTTGAACATCTTTCTGTCTAATAATATCTTTTAGCTCCACCACTAACTTCTCTGCATAAGCCAGGCGTTCCAGAACATCCTCTTGTGTTTCTTTATTAAATTCCATGTCAGATTCCTGGGGTAATTCCTAGTTTTTAGATAAAAAGTGGCCAGCACATCAGGGAAAAGGTATTAGTTTCCAAAGAAAAGTTCCATTATTCCAGTTTCATCCTTTGTTTTGCCCAACTCACATCCTTGTTAAGAATCTTTTTAACTCTGATCCAATAATAATAATCACAGACATTATAATATATTAAGTATTTTATAAACATTACCTCATTTAAGATATTATTCTAATTTTACCAAAGAGAAATTAAAAGGAAGCATAGATCAGAAACCATTAAGAAGAGCCCAAAATTTAAAATTAAGACAGCAGTTTAATAAAACTCCCTTAACCACTAGGTATTACTGCTTATCTTTCCAGAAAACTAAAGGACATCTTTCCATTTCTTATGTAGTCCTCAGAAACTACAATACAAACTATGAGAGAAATGGTAGATGAAACTATAAAAGCAAAATGATATTCTCAAACCCAGGGTGGCACCTGTGGCTCAAAAGACTAAGGCACTGGCCCCATATGACAGAGGTGGCAGGTTCAACCCCTGCCCCGGCCAAAAACTGCAAAAAAAAAAAAAAAAAAACCCAAAAGGTATTCCAGTTCCCCCACTTGTCATTTAAATCTTTCCTGTGGAAGAAGCACCTATACCCAAGGATGAGGACTTAAAACCATATGGCAATAGATAAGGCCCTAGGGGACAAACAAGAAAGATCTTTCAAATTATCACCCTTGGTTGCCAAGGTGAACCTCTTTAGGCGACAAACTTATAGAAAAGCATCATTTATAAAGTTTAAAAATTTTTTGACTCCTCACTTCCACCTAGAACCAGAGGAGGCTGCTCACACCCTTTTATCTTAAATTTGGAACATATGTCTTATCAGTTTAAATCAGAACAGAGCTACTCACAGGGTCTAAGGGCGTCCTCATATTCTCATCAGTGTCATCTCCTGATAATTCATGCAAAACAACATTTGCTAATCCTGACAATCGGCTCAGCATTTCTGTAGGAAATAAGGGAGAAAAATATAAGAATTAGCAAAATAGACATGGGTTTCTTCTATATTGGTAACCATTATCACATATAAGTGAAGTAAAACTGTGCAGGTGAAATATATTTCAGTCTGCAACACAATGGTCTTCAAAAAGGATATTTAGATTATTTTCAATTGTTAGCCATCCAAATACTGCTGTATAAACATTCATGCATATATATCCTTGGCCTTTGTGTGAGCCTATTGTAGTATAAACAATATGAAAACATTTGGGGCCTTATTACTAGGAATCATTTCATTTTAAACTATGTACTGCTCAAAAGAAGCACCTATATAACTTTTAACTTTATGCCTTTATCCCTATTTACACCTGGAAAAAGTTGGGTGATAAGGTTATTCAGAAAATAGAATAACTTTTGTATATCTTCTACTAGCCAAGAAACTTTGTCCAGCTGTTGTGATTGGGCAAATTACTTAACTTCCTTAGTTTACTTACCTTAAAATTGGGGATATTGATAGTTCTTCCCCCTTAGGGTTGTTTAAGAATAAAATGAGTTAAATAATGAGGATAAATAAGTTATATGTAAAGCAGATGGCGCCATACTTGCCAGGTAGTGCTCTGTATGTTACCATTTACTTTTAGATTTGTTTAATGAAAATAATAGCTTTTTTGTATCCTGAAAAAGTTTTTCATTTTCTAATTGTAAAATTATATATATCATAATATTGAATGTTTTTCCCAGCTACATAGCACAAAATTTTCCTATTAGCTCCTTGATCTAAGAATCACTTTGAGAATTAAGGAAAACTACTGAGTCTTAACTAAATATGCATGAATAAGTTTGAGGAGTGACCTCAGTGGTATATAACTTGTTAAGTACAACCACAGTGAAGTACACCTTAAAAGTTATCTTTAATGCCTTTTCTTTCACAGTAGTTTCATTTACAAACATGAATTCCTTATTCTTCCTTCCTCTGCTAGACTCTGCTAGACTATCGTTCTTTTCTACTCTTTAAATAAACCCTATGATTCTACAAAATTTTTCTTATCTGTCCCATGGATCAGACCTACTTTCACAGGAAGCTTTTTAAATACAAACAATGTTCAAAGCATATAGCCCTAAATGCATATATTAGAAAAGAAGGAAGGAGAAAAATCAGAAACCTATGCTGCTTGGGTAGGGAATCAGAAAAAAGAGCAAATTAAAACCAACATAAGCAGAAAAAAGGACATAAAAATTACAGCAGAAATTAATAAAGTTGAAAATAGAAAAATAGAGAAAAGAATTTATTAGAAAGAAATCTTAAGACAACCAAAATGACTAACCAAACATTTTTAATAAGGACTTGTGATGAGCAATAAATATACAATTACTCGTAGAACTAAGACTAAGTAAAAACTGGGAGAGAGCACAGTATATAAAGATTATACGCTCTAACAACCATGAAAAAAAATGCAGAACATAAATAGTATTTGCAAAAGAAAAAACTCAACAGAGATGCAAATAACTTTCATCTCTGAAAGGTATTGTAAAATTATATGTAAAGCAGTTGGCGCCATACTTGCCAGGTAGTGCTCTGTATGTTATCATTTACTTTTAGATTTGTTTAATGAAAATAATAGCTTTTTCGTATCCTGAAAAAGTTTTTCATTTTCTAATTGTAAAATTATATATATCATAATATTGAATGTTTTTCCCAGCTACATAGCACAATATTTTAAAAAACAAAGAGGCACTTTAATGTGATCTTCAAATCAAGCTGGAGTGTTCTCTAGGCAAGATCTTTTTTTGAATGTCATTCTTTTAAATTTATATTCTTGTATAGTTTATATATATTTCTAGTGGAAGTCATGCATTATTCAGAGGTAAATATATAATATTTGGGGATATTCGTGCTCAAAAATGTTTTAATGATAGGATGTACAATTAAAAATGTTTAGAAACTACAGACGTAGTTAAAGTAGTGAATAGGAAAGCACTGAATTGGTCATGCCATGGTCAAGGACAAAGGGTAAAAGCTATGAAGCAGTTAATGCACAATGTTTGCAACTTTAAGAATTCTTCAACTTTTTCCTATTTCTATTCCAGGACCAAATTCTGCCATTTTTCTAACAGAATATTTCACGAATTTGAACTTTCTTAATCATTCTAACCATCGAAATTTCATCAATTAATGCATCATTTGGAAAGACTTCCAGCCTTTCAGTAAGGAGTTCTCCACTTTCATCTTGCACATAACTGTGAACTGGTCCTTTAAGAACTCTGACAGCTTCTGTCTCCAAAAGTGAAAAGTACTTACCCATGATTTTAAATATCTCTTCCTACTCTTAAAATGTCCTCTCCCCATAAACCAACTGGAGCTAAGTAAGTCAGACAAATATATTCCACATTCCTCAAGGGACTCACCCTCCCCGTCACATTCCTGTTTGCAGAATAAACACACTCCATACCACCAAATCACGTTCTTTTTTTCTCCAGAACTCTCTTCAAGTTCCCTTTTCTCTAATAACCTGCTCACCACTGATTCCTGAGATTTCAGTGTTGGTGGGATCGCAGGTATCGTGCTTCTTTTCTCATCTTTCCAATAACCCATTAGCATTAGCAGGATCATTGGACAGGCCTTCGTTTACATTAATATCTCCAATGTTTCTACAATCTCCGCCCGCGAGATCTTTGTTTGGGTCCCGCCTACCTTTTGGGACACTAAGTTTGTTAGGGCCTGAGTGCAGGGGCCCGGCAGGTTCTCTCCGACCAACTGCTGCGTACGGAGGCCGGCTTAAGCAGGCCGCTCAGGAAACAAGGCCGAGCGGACAGGACTGACCTGCGCGCTTTTCTCCATTGCTCTCAGAGGAGAAACGTCCTGGGGAGAGGACAGACAGCGAGTATGTGCTCCATGGAGACCCAGGGAGACCCCCAAAGCCCCCGAAGGGGCCAAAGAGACAAGTGGGTTACTAGAACTGGGCCTGGTAGGTGAAGAGAGGCCGGTGAACAACTGGATCCTGGACTGAATCCGGGAGAGGCCGGGCGGGAGGGGCCTTGAGAGTGGCCGCTTTGGCGACCCCGCGCCCCCTGTGGCGGGGTGACCGTTATTGGACTCACAGACAGGAGGAGTTGGGGAGCGTCCCCCACTCACCTGGAAGCGGTTGCCCCCGGAGGTTCCAGCTGCCCCCCTCCCAATTTAAGCCACGTCAGCTCGGGAACCCGTAAGCTACACCTACCACCGCCGCGCCCCGCCAGGGACTCAACCACTCGCAGTTGGGACGGAAGATGGGATTAGAACATTGACCAATCAGAACTACTGTCAGGGCGTTACCAGGGCGACCAGGCACGCCTTGTTTATGACTATCCTATCAACAAAGATGGAAGCCAATCAACGGTAGAAAAAGCTTTGCTTCCTTAAAGAAACAGCCAATGGACTCGAAAGCGTGAATGAGGGGCAGGATCAGACCGGAGCAAGTATCCCGGAAGAAGATCTGGGGAAGGACAGGAAATGCTGAGAGGACGGCGGTCCGGGGAAAGGTCAGGTGTTCTCGGTGTGAGGAGAATATGCTGGTTTCCTCTGCTTCGTTGGCTGTGCCTTACCGAGGCTACGACCCTGATTTCGGTGGAGACTTGGGACTGCGGGCACCGTTAGGACTGTTGAGTGAGCTGTGAGAAGGGAGTGTAGAGTACCGGCTTCGCTCTTAAGTCGTAAAATATTAAAGCCGCTTGGTCGCTGGTCGTCTAGTAGAATAACCTTTTCGTTTTGCTGATGAAAAATGAGACTCAGAGAAGGGATTTGCTCAGAGTCAAACCTCGACTTACTGATGGAACTCGGACTAAAACCCGTCATTGTGCAAAAGGATCAGCGGTGTCTCTGAGGGCAGCAGTGTGAGAGGTAAAGAATAGCGACTACCATGAATGTGCGTCTTAGGAAGTGAGGTCTGAGCTCAGTCTTAAGCAAAAGGTGAGATTTGAAGGTTTAGGGCCTGGAATGGGAGTCAGTGAAGAGCTCTAGCCAGGAGACTGTTAAAAATGCTCTGCTTAAACCCTAAGGAAAGGAGAGGAAGCAGTCAGCTTCCAAAAATTTGTCATTTCAGGCACTCTCTGGACAATGAAAATTACTTATTAGTTTGAATTTATTGAATCATACTGTGCACTCGACTAGCCCACTGTGTTTATTTACATCCTAGTGATTGCATAATCCTTTGAGGTTCAAACATCAACTCAGTAAGGCTTGTCCTGGCTACTCATCTAAAGAAACTGGAGATTGTTATACTACGTGAAATAAGCCAGGCCCAGAAAAATATCGCATGTTTTCAGTCATATATGGGAACTGAAAAAAGTTGATCTTCTGGAGTACAATGATAGTTACCAGAGGCTGGGATGGGTGTTTGTGTTTGAAGAGGGAGTGGATAAAGAGGCTGGTTAATGAGTACAAAGTACAGTTAGAAGGAATAAGTTCTAGTGTTTGATAGCACTGTAAGGTTACAATCTTTGAAATAACTAGAAAGGAAGATTTTTTAATGTTCCCAATACAAATGATAAATTTTTAAGGTGATGAATATCCTAAATACCCTGATTTGATCAGTACACATTTTATGCATGTATGAAAATACCACACATACCCCATAAATATATACAAATATTATGTATGTTTAAAATGTACAAATAATATACATGTATAATAATATATACAAATATTATGTATGTATGTACATAAATATATACAAATATTATGTATGTTTAAAATGAAGAAAAGTAAATACATTGCAGTCCTCTTTACACACTATACCTCCTATTTTTTCTCCTAAGCATTTTGCCATCTAACATATATTCTATTCATTTATCTTGCTTATTTTCTCTCTCCTCATTAGATTATTAGATCCAAGAAGGCAGGAATTTTCATATATTTTCATCTCACCTATATCTGCAGGTCTCAGAACAATGTACAGAAGGTCACTCAATATCTGCTGAATCAATTATTATTCCCATTTTACATGTGAGACAATAAGACTTCTGAAGGTTAAGTAATTTGCATGGTGAGGAGCAGAGCCAGGATTCAAAATAGCTATCCAGTATCAAAACTCCAGCACTTCATTAATATATTACATTTTCATATCCCTGATTGTGCCCATTCATCAAACCCTTAAATCTGGATTAGTCTAACCACCAATCTCTACTCTTAACTTCAGAGTGCAAAATGTGCTAGAAACATCAGGACAGCATTAGTGTCGTCGGTGATGTGAGTATCATGACCACCACACATTCAGTTTACAACTGCCCTCCATCCTCAGCATTCACAGAAACCTTTGATGTCTTCAGCTGCTTCTCCCATTTCCCACAACAATTATTAAAACCTTCAACACCCTCATCAAGTCCCAACCCCATACTTATTCCTTACATTTGTAACAGATGAACTTACTTTTACCTTTGAGAAAACAGAAACCATCACCTGAGAGTCCTATTGGGTACTCCCTTACACAAACTTCTACATACCTGCTTCCATGTTCAGCCTCTAAATTGACCTTTTAGTTTGAACAGAATAAAACTTTCTTATATAAAATATTTAAAGTTTTCTGCCAAGTAGGTCTTCCCATGGCCCTACCTTCTATTGAATGAGCACAGACTGGTCATTGGTGAGAATTAGAGTAAATCTAAGAAAATGAAGGAAGAAAGTAAGTTAAAGAGTGAGACCAATTTTTTTCAAAGAGCATTAAAGGATTTGAAATAGTTTAGAATATAACTTAATAGAAGCAATTTAGGCTCTGAGAGGGTGATGAAGATAATAAAAGATAATTAGGAGATGACCCAGCAAATAAAAAGTAGTGAAGATAGATAGTGCAGTATGTGCACAGACTGGGAAACTTCAGTGATGTGACTGAACTGATAGGCAATGAATAGGTCCTAAAATGATGCATGCCATTTTATGCGAAGGAGAAGTTAGAGACTACAGAAATCATGGACATCTACAGTCACGTAAGTGTCCTGGAGAGTGACCTTTCCCTAACTAAAAGTATAGTGAAGAAAAGTTGGGGGATAAAAACAGCATATCCTCTCTTACAACTATTGCCCAATTCCTTCTCCCCATTTTTCCTCCTCATCCTCTCTTACTTACTTTCCCCTTTACCAAATGCAAATTTATCCCAAAACTTTCATGCAGTCTTATTTATTAATACATCCTTCATACCTAACATGATAAACATGGTATATGCTCAATAAATGTTCGTTAAATTAAAATATATATAAGTCCATTGAATAACTCTCTACAAATAAATCTTAAAATAGAGAAGAAATTTTCTTGAAAAATATAACTTTAGGATATGTATAGTAAATTATATGTAAACATAAAATCACATTGATCATATCAATCACTGCAGAAAACATTCACAAAATTCAACATCCGTGCATGATTAAAAAAAAAAAAAACTCAGAAAACTAGAAATAGAAGGAAACTTACTCAACTCAATAAAGAACATCTACAAAAACAAAACTACAGCTAACATTCTTAATGGTGAGAAACTAGATGCTTTTCTTCTACGGTCAAGAACACAGCAAGGGTGTCCCATTTCATCACTCCTATTCAACCAACGTTGTAGTAAAACTCCTACTGAGATACCCAAGAAGGGTCAGGTCCAGAAGAACAGGTCTTTTCAAGGAGATCACAAGGATATACCCGCAGGGTCCTCTCCATGGTGACTTAGCTCTTGAGAATTTGTAGACTTAACTTCTTAAAACTTGAACATTTCTACTTCTGTGAAATCCTGTAGTTCTGTGGGGGCTGGAACAGCATCTGCTTGATTCAGACTGGCCAATGAAAAAGGTATCTATGCAGTGGAACTTTTTGAATGGAGATAATAAAGGGAAAGACCAAGCCAGTTGGGGAGTGCAGCCATTTGGAATTCTTCTATGCCATAAACTCCCAGCTGGTGAATAAAGCCCTTCCTCTTATAAACATCGTGTTTAGGTGCTCTTTCTCTCCATTGGACCTCGTCTTCCTGCAACACTACCTAATATAAAACAAGAAAGGAAAATAAAAGTTATACATATTGGGAAGTAATAAAACCGTCATAGACAACCGTCATGATTATTTAAAAAACTAAGAATAAGGGGCGGCGCCTGTGGCTCAGTAAGTAGGGCACCAGCCCTATATACGCTGGGCATTGTGGCAGGTGTCTGTAGTCCCAGCTACTTGGTAGGCTGAGGCAAGAGAATTGCCTAGTCCCAGGAGTTGGAGGTTGCTGTGAGCTATGACGCCACAAGGCACTATCAAGGATGATAAAGTGAGACTCTGTCTCAACAAAAGAAAAGAAGAAAGAAAAATAAGAATAAACAAAAACCAAAATCTCTTAGAATAAGTATTTCGGCAAGGTTGTATGGAAAAAGGTTAATGTACAAAAGTTAATTGCTTTCCTACATACCAGCAATGAAAAATTGGAATTTGAAATGTAAAACAAATGCCATTTACATTAGCACCCCCCCAAAAAAGAAAAAATAAATACTTATAAATCTAACAAAATATGTAGAGTCTGAATATGGAGGAAACTAGCAAACCTCTGATGAAAAAAGTTAAAAAATCTAAATAAATGGAGAAATATTTCTTATTCATGGATAGAAAGATTCAGTATTATTATTTATTTTTTTTTGAGACAGAGCCTCAAGCTGTCCCCCTGGGTAGAGTGCCATGGCTTCACTGCTCACAGCAATCTCCAACTCCTGGGCTCAAGCGAGTCTCCTGCCTCAGCCTCCCAAGTAGCTGGGACCACAGGCGCCCGCCACAACGCCCAGCTATTTTTTGGTTGCAGCCGTCGTTGTTTGGCGGGCCCAGGCTGAATTCGAACCAGCCACCTTAGGTGTATGTGGCTGGCGCCTTAGCCACTTGAGCCACAGGCACCAAGATTCAATATTATTAAGATGGCAATTCTTCTCAACTTTATCTGTAGATTCAAAATGATCCCAATCAAAATCCCAGCAAATTATTTTGTGGATATTTGCAAACTAATTCTGAAGTTTATATGAAAAAGTAAAAGACCCATAATAATCAACAGAAAAACAAAGTTGAAGGACTGACACTACCTGACTGAAGACTTACTCTAAAGCTACAGTAATCAAAACAGCATGGTATTGGCAAAAGACTAGACAAATACATCAGGGGAACAGAATAAAAAGTTAAAAAATAGACTTAGATAAATGTCTTTCACAAAGGAGCAAAGGAATTCAATGAAGAAAAGATAGTTTTTTCAATAAATAGTGCTGGAACAATCAATTCATATGCAAAAAGTGACACAGA